TCTCTCCAGTCCCAGGAAAACTTTACTGTTGAAGTCTAGGAAATAAAATAAAACTACAGAGAGAGAAATGACCAGAGAGGCTGAAAGAAAAGGCGTGCCCTAAACTAGAATAGGAATTGCAAAAAGACATAGTCTCTGTAAAGATGTTGTAGAGGGGATAACAGTGCCTAACAGTGTGAGGGAGCACCCTGTAGTTGAACTACGGTGTACTAGGTCTTTATGGTTAACACAGATCCCACCTTCCCCTCCATGAGCACACAGGGAGGCACTTTAAGGTTGCTGGTGTGTAATACACTCACAGGCATCACAGGAAAAGAACAGAGTCCCTAGCCAGATAGGACAGGCAAATGCCACCCTGCTCAGCCTTGGAGAAGAACATGTCCTTCACTCTCTGATGGAGATGGAGATGGTGATGGATACTCAGCCTTGGAGGGACTGATGACTGATGCTAGCAAGGATTGGTTAGCCAGAGGGAGACTTCTGTCAGGGAAGCTGGGTCATATAGACAGGCCCACTTGACACCATGCTGACTGAGAAGGGCAGGTTACGGCTGATCATGACCAAGGGTAGGACAGGGATGCTGGACAAAGCACCACCCCTCCTGGTTGAACACATTTCCCAATAGTGTGAAAGCGGAAACACAACCAGGTGGATGCATATGACAAACAACTTAAACCAAGCTTAGGGACAAAGACCTCATCTATGTTAAAGTTTTGACCTGACGACACACAACAGAAAGGAAAATATAGCACTTTCTACCACAAAATAGGCTGTGGGCTGTAAGTAGGAAACTGTGGCTTAGGTCTTACTTGAAGCACATCTATGACAATCAGTCCATGCTTCATGTTCATTACCAGGTGGTGTCTCCTCTTTTCTCTTCCTCACTGACCACATTCCAACTTCCTCAAGACCACAATGTACCCAACTGGGTGCTGGGAATTTGGCTCAGTGGTAGGGTGTTTGCCTACCATGTGTGAGGTCCTAGGTTCAATTCCTAGTCAGACACACCACACACACACACACACACACACAAATCTACAGTGACCACCTTCCTCTTCAGCATGAAGTGGCCATGTGACAATTCTGGCAACTAAGACGGAGACCAGGTGACTTGACAGTTTCACAGAGAACTCTTTAAAGGGGAAGACTTGGCCATCATTAGGTACAAGTACTGAGCCTTCTTTCCTGTCTAATATAGGAACAGAACTTGGGGCAGAGGAGCCATTTTGTACTGGGATGTTACAAATATAAATGAACACTAGCTGCTATGTCATGTATTCACCATGTGCAGAGCAGGATGACAGGAACCCCTAGGCAATCCTGGACTACCTATTTGCAGATTCTTGCACAAGAGAAAAATAAAATTCAACACATGTTTAATCCACTGGATTTTCTGTTATGTGTGGCTGACTCTACATGTTCTAAAATTTGCAAAAAGCCTTTACAAAGTTACTTGGCTGGAACAGTGCCATAAACAAGGAATTAATCTCACTTATACATAACTTTCTGACGCAGAGACTATGTCAAATAAAACACATGTATACGGGATGGTCCTCCAACCAACATATGATATTAATAAGTTACATCATGGGAACCCATCAGGCTGATTCCACAAGTGTGCAAAAGACTCTCAGTGTGCTAAGATGGAAAGAAACAGAACCTAAACAGTCGGAGTCAAACGCTGCTCTACTGCTGACCAGCTGGGTGACACTAGGTCTTCCACCTCTGTTTCCTCAAGTGCAAAATGACATAACAGTTCCTACCTCAAGGGGGGTTGAGCATATTAAAATGAGCTAATACCTGTACAGTGTTTATACCTGAGCCTGATGCCTTCTTAATATTAACCAGCCATCTGGTAATATCAGCATAAAGCTGGTGATGATGTAGCCAAAAGGCAACAATAAGAGCAAGATGAATATGTTTATCCCGTGCACAGCAGATTCTTTGCTAATGTGAATCTGGAATATTGATATGAGCTCAAGCTACATATGTGGCTGAGTTTAGACACCACTGACTACAGTGCCCAGGACTGCCACACACATATTCATGCAACAGGCAAGAGTGACAATGTCTACAAAATAGCTGCTTGGGGGGGGGGGGGGATATATTTATAAAGTGGGAAGTGGAGAGAGATTAGCACAGACAGCTAAAAATAACCCTCTAAGCAAACAAGTTGGCAAACATCAACCGCTTATTAAAAAGTCAATGCTGATACAATATTATTGCAAGATATGTTCATGTAATCTGGAAGGATAAGGATTCTTGCCATCCAAGAGTTAGACAGACAATTCCTAGGTTTCATTTTTTTTTTTTATTATTCTAACACAGAAAGATTCCAGGTATTTCTATGAAGCCAAAAGGGGCACAAGTGTTTGTAGGAAGCTGCCAAGTGCCAGGCACAGGTATGCAACCTAGTAAGTAGTGAAAGTACTGAGCCACCCAGACCTGCCTGCTCAGGTCAGTAGAAAACTTTCTAGATGAAGGAGGCCTCAACTAAGCCATAACATCAAGGCAACTGGATCTCCACAACTGTGTTTTAGTCTGCTCTTTCCTTTAAATACTAAATAAGTATAATAGGATGTGAACTGAAACTCCTCTCCCAATCCTAAGAGAAGAAAGAGAAAAAAGAGAGT